AAATAAAATTTCACCGCTAGATGGGTGAAATTCCTACACGGCGTGCCTTTTAAGGACGAAGCTGTAGGGTCTTTAACAAAAGCCTCCAAAATGGAGGAGGTCAAAGGGCATGTTTCTGCTATAGAATCATCGGCTCTCCACAAAGTCTGTTCATGTCGTCAACACCAAAAAGCTGACATTTGAAAATTCTACATATATTTTGTGTAGATAACCGATAGTATATTCTCAGTGAAGGGTTTCACTTGTGTCATTTTCCACAATGAATAAGGATAGTTTGGGAGATACAAGAAAAGTAAAAATGATATATCTTATACGTACAAATGGTCATAGCTACCGTAGAAAAAGTAAGATCATGATTTGAATTAAGATGTGTAAATTAAATATTCGGTCAAGACCAACTTTACTTATGGAGCATCATGGACAACACTGCGTCTCTGAAGTGTGGTGATTTTCTAAATGATACAGCTTAATCTAAATAAGTGCAGCGTAGAGTCGTGTGATTTCTTTTAAAACAACAAAAACAAACTTTGACAACTTGTTTCATGTGTCATGGACAAAAATAATGTTTGAAATATTTAGTAGAAATAAGTAGAAATAATTAATTTTCCTTTCCTTTTTATTATAAATAATAGCTTTGGTTAAATTTATGGAAACCCATTTATATCATACAGAAGTCTTGTAAAATAAACAGATGATGACTTCAATAAAAAATTTAAACAGTCTTTTAATTTTAAAAGATCTAATTGAAACTTTTAAGATTATGGTTTTAAGTGAATTTAGAATAAAAATTTAGAATAACATGACATAATTGTGGCCCAGTGGCTCATCTGGCCTGTAACTCCTCCGTCTCTGTGAGGGTCTGAACCTTCATCTCACCCTATCACTAACGGATATGAGAGGTCTTTGTTTATGACAGCTTAAACTATTTGCTTTTTGCATAGTCTTTATCATTGCCTAGATCTAGTTTGCATAGAAGGAGTTTTTGTAATTATACATGTAATTGATATATTCTTTAGATAAAACTATGTTTAATTTGTACAAATACATTTTAGTAGCATATGTGTTATTATTCATTATAGAGTTATATATCATTTTATTTATAATCATTTGATTTAAAAATAGAGATTTTATGCTTTGTGAGTGCAAAACAGCTTTATTATAAATTATATTCAATTATTTATTGAAAATGTAAAAATCCAGTTTTCTCTGACGGTAGAGTTTTAGGTGTATGGTATACGCAGTTACAGTACAAAAATTGTTATGGCTATATTAATAAAAATACTTTTAGGTCGGCATTAAACAAAATCATTAGAGTAATCTTTAAAAGAAATAGAAGATATGAATGTATTAAAACTATAAAGATTTAATTTAAACAATCTTTTCATTTTAAAAGCTTGAAACTTTTACGATTATGATTCGAAATAATTCTAGCACGAACAAAACTTTGACTCGGCGATGCACAGACACTCATCTGCTCTGTCTCTATCCTGAAGCTAATGGGTGGCCAGCGTTTGGCATCACAGTTTCTAAAATGTCTTCATTGGTGCTCTCGCACTAAAGATAGACCTATGTGGTGATTTTCGCAGAGATACTACTTAAGGAATTATTGAACATTTCACACAATGTGTGAGATGACTTGTGAGAGATCGAATTTTTTACATGCACCCTGATAAATAAAAATATAGTCAAGTTTTTCCATAGACCGCTGATGTAGCATATTTGTTTTTATGAATTAATTTAATTTATTTTAAAACATCTGGTATTTTTAAAAGATATCATTTAAACTTTTAATGATTATACTATGAAGTAAGATTAACACTAATCAAACATATGGAATGTCTCCTCTGAACCGACACACACACAATGCATGCCTGTAAAGCGAGGGGGAGAGAGGATCACTTGTGGGAGATCTTAGTCTTAAGATCTTAGTCTTATTTTTGAAATGAACGATAAAAGCATTTAATTGATATACTTTTAAATGAACAATGTTGTTCAACTTCAACTCAGTTAGTGTGAAATGTTATATTTGTAAATTAATAATTGCACATTTATTACCATTTCATTTATATACTTTTGAAGATCAATGTTTTTCAACTCTAGTTAGTGTTAAATAATAATAATTTTGTAAAATTACTAGATGTAAATTTATAACTATTTTCATTTATATAGAGCTTAATGTTTAGTGTGAAATATATCGTCCTCACTTAAAGGGGTATAATGTAACACACACACACACACACACACACGCACACACACACACACACACACACACAGAAATAAGTGTGAGAGGGTCCCTCTGACTTAGAGGATTCAGAGAGGTCTAAAGTAATTTATTGCCATTTATTACACAGAGACACACACACACACACACACACACCACTCCGGCCATGCATGGGGGAGAGAGAATCACAGGGAGATCTTCACAACTTTAAACTCATCTTTTACATCTTTTGTAAACCATCCATGTATTGTATGGACATCTTAGGAAGTACTTGGTCGACCAGCTGGGAAAAGTAAGATGGTTTTATTTTTGATAGACTGTTAGTCAACTTATAATCTATAAAACATGTTGTTTTATTTTACAATGAATGATAAAGCATTTTATTGATATTCTTTTTAAATGAACCATGGTTTTAACTTTAGTTAGTGAGAAAAAGTTAGAACTTTTTCTGTTTCAGCACAGGATGCAGGAATGTAATGCTGTTACAGACACACAGATACACACACACACACACACACACACACACACACACACACACAGAAAAAACACACGCTCACGGATGCTTCTGTTGATGAGAGGTTTTTCACATCTTGATGAAAATAAAGGAAGATGCTTTTTCACATTTAAATCTAAATGTTTTTTCCTTATAATCTATAAAACACGGTTTCATTTTTTAGCTCGTGTAAGATTTTTTTCTCTGGGTGAAGGAATGTTCAGCCATCTCACAGCCCGACTGTCACAGGGCCGAAGGACGGTGAGAGAATCTTCACCACTCAAGTAAGCCGCTTTTATTTTACAGACCCTATTGTGATACGGTCATTATTAGAAAATTATTCCATCGATGCAACAGCAGGATGGGATGGGGAATTCTGTAGAACAGAGACCACCCATTTTATAGACGACTTTTCTGGTATGGGAGGGGGCTACATCAATGATAAAACCAGTCAACCGGGGTCAACCTGTCCATTTTGATCGATCGCTTCCTGGGGTCACTAAGAGGACAAAACCATACATGTTCACACACATGTTTTTTGGATTAAAAAAGGTCATCCGGTCAAAACCACACATGTTCACACACACATGTTTTTTGGATTAGAAAGGTCATAGGTTAATCGATATTCCTGAGATGGAACGCAAAAGGTCAACGGGTCAACACCACCTGTCCATTTGATTGATCGTTAGGTCAAAGGTTAATCGATATCCCAGACACGGTATGTCAAAGGTCAACGCTTTATGACTACTTCAAAGATGACATCCGGAAGGTCAAAGGCCAGCCCCGCCCCCCTGTCAATCAAAAAGCCATAAATCATTTTGACACATGGGAGCCTATATAACTACTGATGGAGTTTTGGTTCCTTGCCACTGTCGCCTTGCTTTTGGCTTGCTTTTGGCTTGCTCAGTTGGGGTTATTTAATATTAAACAATATTATTGATCTCTGTTGTACTACTTTCATGTTATCACTGTGAAGCTGCTTTGATACAACCTGTATTGTGAAAAGTGCTATATAAATAAATGTGACTTGACTTGACTTGAATACTTAAAGCACTTGATGGCTGCTCTGTCGAGTCTTCGTCATCAGTTACCAGAGTGTGCTCTTTGATACCAATCTTTCTTTTGAAAGTCATGTGTCTAGCATCTGTAAAAAACACATTTTTCTGTCTTAAAAATATATCTAAATTACATCATATGCTTTCAATGACAAATGCGGAACAGAAATCTTGACATCAAGGCTAGATTATTGTAATGCTATTATGGGTGGTTGCCCTACACACAAACAAACTACAGCTGGTCCTACAGTAGCTCGAGTTCTCAACAGAACCAGGAAGTATGACCATATTAGCCCAGTTCTGTCAACACTGCATTGACAATTTTAAAATATTGCTGATTACTTATAAAGCACTAAATGGTTTAGCTCCCCAGTACTTGAGCAAGCTCGTAATGCATTATAGTCCGTCACGTCTATTGCGATCTCAAAATTCTGGCCAGTTGATTATACCTAGACTATCAAAATCGACTGGTGGTAGATCCTTTTCCGATTTAGCACCAAATCTTTGGAACAGGTTTCCTAAGATTGTCCGGGAAGCAGACACACTTCGTCTGTTCAAATCTAGACAAAAAAGACATCTCTTTGACCTAGTATACACATGACACCATATACTTCCATAATTCAAATATTAGGTCAGCTGGAACCGGCAACACTTCCTATAAATCTTGATGTACTTGTTACATCATAAGAAGGATGGCGTGAGCGCTAATATTAGTCTCTCTGTTTATCTCGAGGTTGACTGCAAGGACCTGCGCTGCGCCTGGACACGATGACAACGCCGTCCATCCCTTGTGAAGGCCTCCCTCCCTTTACCTCTTTGCAGATAAAACTTTGTCAGGATAATTCCAGTTCACATGGCTACGTGGAAGTGATACAAATTTCTGTATTATACATTTTTCAAGGCTTGAACCTTGGAACCTATTTCAGGGTTTGCGTCTCAAAACTATCAAAACTATCTTTAGCTGGACAATAACTTTATTCTAGAGCTGCTGTAAAGCCAAAATAATCTCTGTTACTTTAATTTCCTATTTTCACTATAAAGCTGCTTTGAAACAGCCCATATTATTAAAAGCGCTATATAAATGGTGACTTGACTTGACTATTTCTCCTTAACCATATGATTTTATATATTTTAGTAAATTTTAATTTATATGTATTATATACATTTGTGAAATCTGACATACTCCTAATTACATGCCCAATATTATCATGTTTTATGAACACATGTGGGATACATTATGATAATTGTGTCTTTATTGTTTGTTTTTTAAAGTCTTTATTGTTTTATTTAAACTTTGCAGAACATATGAAAGGCCATTTAATGGCCAGTCCCAAATACCAAATACAATGCAACAACATGCCCTGCCATCTATCATGTGATTTCTGTAGCCATTGTGTAATGTAAGTTCCCATAGAGAAATTACATTTAAAAATGAACCTACAATGAGAAATATTCTATGCTGTAAAAAGCTTTCCCTAGTCTCCCCTTTACATAAAAACACAAGTCTAAACACCAAGGCAAACTATTTAGATAACACTTTACAATAAAGTTCATTAGTTAAAATTAGTTACATGACTAATTTTAACACGATTTTAACAAAGTATTAGTAAATGTTGAAATTACCTTAACAAAGATCAATAAATGCTGTATACGTGCAGTTCATTATTAGTTCATGTTAACTAGTAACTAATAATGTAACTAACATGTTAACTAACGGACCTTTATTGTAAAGTGTTACCAATATCTAGATATCTTAATTCAGAGAACATATTTTATTCCAGAAGTTCAGCATTCATGATAATTTAAGTGATCTTTACATTTGTCATAATTTTGTCCCTAAAAAAAAGTAGTAAAAACATAATTGAGTAAAACAAACATCAACGTAACAAAAGTTCAGCCTTGTTAATATGGGTGACCCTGGTGTCTCAAACGTAAGCTTTTGACGTCTCTGCAGTAGATGGAGCGGGAGTATAGATTGTCTTTGGCTTTCCACCTGGGTAGTATGCCCTGTTAAAAAGAGAAAAAAAACATCATCAAAAGTTCAAAGAACAGCATTAGAAATATAAGGAGTAAAAATACTATTAGAATTTTTCCAGTTTTACAGAATCCCTGTTTATTACTTATAACTGTATATTTAATTACAGGATATAATGTTAATATACCTATACCTTATGCTTTATAATATACCTACTTTAGAAAAATCTCGCTTTCGGGTTAAGCTTTCCGCGATTGCGCAACTGGGGTATAAGTTGCCAGGTTAAGTTGAAATTGTTTATGGTGTGTGGATTGTGTGAATATAATGGATTTCATACAAGGTCTTGCAACTGGTCAACATTAGACAAACATATTGGTCCGATTATTCATAAAGGAGTTTGGGCCAGCGAATTACAGGAGTTTCCCGAGAGAAATAACAAACTGGGAGGGGTCCGGGTAGCCTGGGAAAACCCAGACAACTTCCGGCAAATTTAGATTTGCTCTAAAAGTTAGTCTGGCAAAGAGCTCATTCAAACCCATTTCCAGTCCGCAGAAATCGCGGCACCAATCAGAAACGTTGGGGCGGGCTTCACACAATGACGACAGCGCTGGGATTTTGAAGCAGATTTTGTAGCCTACATTACAAAGATGGACGCCGCCGTTGAACATCACTTGCTCGAATCAGCTGTCGCGTCTGTTTTTAAGCAATTTGAACGTTTCCTTTTTGTTAAAAACCGAGCAAAGAACAACACTCGGAGATGTTTCTCCGCCGGCACTGCATACGTCACCCCCTTCATCACTCTGATTGGTTTTAGGTCTATCCGCGACGTCCGTTGGTGACGCCCCTCTGGAAATGATTTGTCTATGACGATGTTACAACTGAAAATGGTCTGGTTTTAACCAGGCTAGGGTCTGGGAGATAGGGCTAAAAACAAGAGAAACCCGGGAAAAACGGGAGTGTTGACAGGTATGGGTCATGTCAGTAACCCCAAGTACATTTTTCCTTGCAAAAAAATCCCATACATTTGACAGTATTTTACAGTAAAATTACAGATAATGTGATTTTACAGTAAACCATTTAAACTACGGTATATGGTAAGGTAACTTAAAGTTAACCAGTTAACTAATTTTTCTGGTCACATTTTTTCACAGTGTAGAAAATTGTCTGTGTGATATTTACCCTTTGTCTTTCGCTTGAGAGGCTCTTTTATAGGCACTGCACTGGAATGCACCACCCAGGATGCACAGCCCTGCACCAGCCCAACCTATATAGAGACCACTACCCAGCTCAAATCTGCAAACAAAGGGAGATAGTTAGATGTATGTGGCTATTTAATGATATATCTGGAACAAATCTGTATCCGGAAGTGTGCTAAACCTGACAGTAGGCCTACTCCGTTTAAGGATGTCCTAATTTGTACTTCTATGTTTCTGTTGATTTCTTGGTCTGATGATTTAGTGTGGAGTCAGATGTGTTTTGTGAGGGTTGCAGCTAAACTCTGAAGGAAAGTGGCCTATCAGGAGCGGAATTTGACACCATTACCCTGAGCAGGGGTGTCCAAACTTGGTTCTGGAGGACCACTGTCCAGTTTACCTCCAACTCGCCACAACACACCTGCCAAGAGGATTCTACTGTTTCAAGTAAGACATTGATTAGCTGGTTCAGGTGAGTTACATTGGGGTTAGAGCTGAACTCTGCACTACAGTGGCCCTCCAGAAACAGAATTGGACCCACTTGGTTCAGAGGGTCATAGAGGGTCAATTGTAGAAATGCAGAATGTTTTCTGTAAGTGTTACGGTTAGAATGTAGATTAGGGCTAGGTTATAGTAATTAGCTGTATATGAAAACAGAAGTCTTTGGAATGTCCCCATTTAGATAAGTAAATGTGTGTGCATTTAAGAATGTGTGTGAATGTGAGTCTTCTCACTTGACGCCTCCGTAGAAGGGGTCATTGAATTCTTGAACAATCCGTGTAGCGTACCAAGATACAGCCACCATAGTGCAAAGACCTATGGATATATACATATTTCTCAATTATAATAGATGCTAAATAGGTGGAAACATGCAGACAACTAAACAATAATAGAAACTGCATGTTCATTTGAACAATGTATTTCTGTTTACCTGCAATGATGAAGATAATGCCACCAATGACCATTGTCTTGCCTTTTGCCTCATCTGTTTTTGTCCCAAATTTAATGCACTTCAGCCCCATGGTAGATAAAATTATACCGACCAGCCCCATGATCAGAGCGATGATAGTTAATGCTCGACATGCTTGAATATGAACTGAAAACAAGAAAGAGAAAAGACAAAAAACAAAAACAAAGAGTCTTTGAGTTTAGAGTTTAGTAACTTTGGTGTGTGCTTACAATATAGTTCAGACTTTCATCATATCTAAAATGTGGTGAAGTGTTTGGTAAAATTATGTATATAAAAGGTTATCATTAATTATTAAAGTGGTCTTTGTTATGATTGGCATCACTGATCTATGGTAGTGATTGGTGCTTTCATTAACATTGCATCATGAAGCTTCTAAACTTTTGAATCTTTTCTTTTGAATCAGTGCTTCAGAGTGAATCAGTGCATCAAACTGGCCTGTCTACAGAAAACGTCTCGGGTTATGACTATAACCCTTGTTCCCTGAGAAGGGAACGAGACACTGCGTCGATAAAATCGACTCTTTGGGGACGCTCCCTAAGCGTGCGCCTCTGAAGTATGAATGAAACTAATCCAATCCTGATTGGTGTTGCGTCGTGACGTAACATGTGACGGCATACCCGGAAGTATAAAAGTGACGCTGTCACAACACACACTAGCCTCGCGATGAAGCAAGACGCTCAAGGGTCTGAAAAGGGGGCGTGGCAACACGACGCAGTGTCTCGTTCCCTTCTCAGGGAACAAGGGTTATAGTCATAACCCGAGACGTTCCCTATCGAGGGAACTCAACACTGCGTCGATAAAATCGACTCTTTGGGGAACGAGTACCCACTAGGCCACGCACCGAACAGACCCGCCCCAGAGTGAAACTGATTAGGCACTCAGCAAGGGCCGAGTACGTGTGCACCGGGCGTACTGGGAAGGCTGAGACTGTAAAACCTGATGAAAGTATGCGGGGTAGCCCAGCCGGCTGCCTCACAAATCTCCTGCAGAGGTACTCCCGACAGAAGGGCCCTAGAGGAAGCCATGCCTCTAGTCGAGTGAGCCCTTAAGGCCAAAGGTGAAGGAACCCCACGCACCTTGTAAGCCTCAGTAATAGCCTGGACAATCCAGTTACTTATAGTTTGTTTGGTCGCCGGGAGCCCCCTCTTAGGTGACCCAAAGCATACTAACAACTGGTCAGATCTTCTCCAAGAAGCAGACTTTTCCAAGTATACACTCAAAGCTCTGACGGGGCAGAGCAAGTGAAGCCTCTCTTCTCCCGCCGACACATGAGGTGGAGGATGGAATGCCTGAAGGACTACAGAGCGAGCCGTACTCGAAGGAACTTTAGGCACGTAGCCCGGACTCGGGTGCAAAAAGGCCTTTACTTTGCCAGGGGCAAACTCCAAGCAAGCTGGCGTTACCGCCAGGGCCTGGAGATCTCCCACCCTCTTAAGAGAGGTAATCGCTAAGAGAAAGACCATTTTCAACGTTAAGTCCTTAGGCGAAGCCGACTCTAAAGGTTCGAAGGGAGCGAGGGACAACCCTTCCAGAACTATTGCCAGATCCCAGGCAGGCACCCTGGACCTGATCGCCGGCCTCATCCTCCAAGCACCACGGAGAAACCTAATGACCAACTGGTGCCTCCCCAGAGGTCCACCATCTACTGGCGCGTGGAAAGCCGAAACGGCAGCCACGTACACCTTAAGAGTGGACGGGGAGAGACCCGCAGAGAAACGATCCTGAAGGAATTCCAGAACTGAAGCCACTGGGCAGTTTACTGGATCCAACCTTCGTTCTCCACACCAAGTGTGAAACACCTTCCACTTGAGGCCATATAATCTCCTGGTAGATGGGGCCCTAGAGCTAAGTATGGTTTCAACCACCTCAGCTGATAAGCCAGCATTTAGGTACTGAACCCCCTCAGAGGCCAGACCCACAGCTTCCACAACTCTGGGCGAGGGTGGAAGATTGTGCCCTCCGCCTGAGACAATAGATCCCTCCTCAGAGGAATCGGCCATGGCGGAGCTATGAGGAGTGATATTATATCCGAGAACCATACTCGTGTCGGCCATCTCGGGGCAACCAGAAGTAGACTGATGCCCTCTTGACGGACCCTCTCCAGGACCCCTGGGAGCAGAGCGATCGGGGGGAAAGCATACAGGCGAAGCCTCGGCCAAGCCTGTACCATGGCATCCAACCCCAGTGGGGCTGGATGTGAGAGGGAGAACCAAAGTGGACAGTGGGACGTCTCTCGAGACGCAAACAGATCCACTTCCATCGGTCCGAACCTCTCCCATATCGACTTCACCACATCCGGATGAAGTCTCCATTCCCCGGGCCTCAGCCCCTGCCTCGACAGGATGTCTGCTCCCCGATTCTGAACCCCTGGGATATACATTGCCCTTATTGACAATATCTTTCCCTGGGACCAAAGGATAATCTGATGCGCCAGTTTGCACAGAGGGCGCGATCTGAGTCCCCCCTGTCGGTTCAGATAGGCCACCACTGACGTATTGTCTGTCCGTATAAGGACGTGGCGACCCTCGATGTCTGGGAGGAAGCTCCTCAAAGCCTTGAATACCGCCATCATCTCCAGGCAATTTATATGCCAAGTGCGATGATGGTCCTGCCACAGACCCCTGGTAAAGCGGCCGTCCATGACCGCGCCCCAGCCCGTAAGGGAGGCGTCTGTCGAAACGGTTTCCCGGCGACATGACACCCCCAACACTGGCCCTTGGGATAGGAACCAAGGCTTCTTCCATATTTGCAGAGACTGAAGGCACTTGCGCGTTACTCTGATCATACGGAACGGATTTCCTTTGGGTGAGAACCCCTTGGTCTTCAACCACCACTGGAGGGGCCTCATGTGAAGGAGGCCCAGAGGAATAATGTTGGATGCCGCTGCCATGAGGCCCAGCATCCTTTGAAAGTGTTTCACAGTGACGGCCTGACCTAGCCTCACCCTGGACACCATCGCCAGAATTGACTCGATACGTGCGGGAGACATACGTGCCTGCATTGTAATCGAGTTCCACACGACTCCCAAAAAGGTCGTGCCCTGGGACGGTTCTAGCACACTCTTCTTCAAATTGAGTCTTAACCCCAATTTTTGAATATGGCCAAGAACGACATCTCGATGCCGAACTGCCATCTCCCGAGACTGGGCCAAAATAAGCCAGTCGTCGAGATAATTCAATACGCGAATCCCCTGAAGTCTCAGTGGAGCAAGGGCCACGTCCATACACTTGGTAAATGTGCGGGGAGAGAGTGCTAGGCCGAACGGAAGAACCCGATATTGGTATGCTTCGCCCCCGAAAGCGAACCTCAGGTACCTCCTGTGACAAGGAAGGATGGAGATGTGAAAATAGGCGTCTTTCAGATCTATCGTGACAAACCAGTCCTCGGATCTGATTTGACTCACGATTGTTGGAATGGTCAACATTCTGAATTTGAACCTTCTCAGAGACCGGTTCAACACCCTGAGATCCAAAATTGGCCTTAACCCCCCATCCTTCTTTGGAACTATAAAGTACCGGCTGTAAAACCCGGACTCCCTGTCTACCGGAAGAACACGTTCTATGGCTCCTTTCGACAGCAGAGTCTGTACTTCTTGTTCCAACACCTGAGCCTGCTCTGGGACCACCGCAGTGAGCACCACCCCAGAGAACTTGGGGGGCGGTGCGCGAACTGCAGTCTGTACCCAACTCGTATTATCTGCAGGACCCATGGAGATATGTTGGGAAGATGATACCATCCCTCTACAAAATCTGCTAAGGGTACCAGCCTCTCGAGGCTGGCCTCTGGTGTCTTTTCGCTGGAAATTGATGCGGCCCGAAGCGCTGTTAACGGCGGACCTGCATCTTTTCCTAGAGGGCCCCGTTGTGAGAACAACCTCGGTTGTCTCACTGCGGAGGGGGCAGCCCTCTGAAGTCCTGCCTTGGCTAGGACCTCTTTTCCGAAGTCCTCTTAGCCTGAATGACGTCCCTCAGGTCGCCCCTCTGGCTGGAGGACTTCGGTTTTTGGGAGCGTTTCCTCTGTTGCCAAGACCCCGGAGGGGGGGCTCTAGAGGAAACGCTCTCCTTCTGCTCTGCCCTGTGGGAGGAGCTGGCTGATGGCTGGGGCTGATTGCTTTGCCCCCCCCTACTAGATTTGGCCTTCGCTTTCCGGGGGAGGTACTGCTGGAACGCCGCAGATTGTTTTCTCGACTCCTGAAACCTGTCGACAACCGAATTAACGGCGTCGCCGAACAGGCCAGAAGCCGAAAGCGGCGCATCCAGCAGGAAGGACCTATCCTTTTCTTTAATACCGGATAAGTTCAGCCACAGATGCCTCTCCGTGGCCACCATGGCCGCCATAGAGCGGCCAATAGCGCTGGCCGCTTCCCTAGTGGCCCGGAGAGACAAATCTGCGGCCTTCCTCAACTCCGCGACATCTTCAGGAGTAGGCCCCTCCCCCTCATCCAAATCTTTCAGGAGGTCGGCCTGGTATGCCTGCAAAATCGCCATTGAGTGCAGACACGAACCAGCCCGACCCGCCGCCATGTAAGCCCTGCCCACCAATGCAGATGTCTCTCTGCAGGGCTTACTAGGCAACACCGGGGTCTTTAGGGAAGACGCCGATTCGGGAGAGAGATAGCTCGCTAAAGCCTCCTCCACCTTCGGCATCTTCCCATATCCCATATCTCGAGCCCCCATAACATTGCTGTAATCTATTACATTGGGACTCGAAATACGGGACGAATGCGGTCTTTCCCACGTTCTCGAGATCTCTTTATGGAGATCAGGGAAAAACGGCAGACCCCGGCGGTGAGGCTGTGACCTGCGCTGCAGGTAACGCTCGTCCATTTTACTGGTGACTTGCGTTTCCTGCTCATGTTGTGGCCAGCTGATGTTTAGTCTGGCCACAGCGCGTGTCACAACCTCCACCAGCTCCTCATAACCCAGGCCGCGTGATGGCGTGCTGAGATCACGGTCGTCCGCATCGATGCTGAGCACGTCCCCTTCCTCAGAAGTAGACAGCTCAAGCACCGGGACCTGATCGCGGGTAGGAGAAACCGCAGCGCGGGCTCCCACACCACTCTCAGAGGCTGCGGGACCAGCCGATGGCGAGCGAGAAAATGCCTCAGCATTCTCACTCTCCTCCGCCAGATCCCGCTGCGAACCCCAGGATCTCAGTCGCCGCATCGCCTCGACATATGCGGGACCGGAACCCTGGGGAACGCGAGCCTGACCGTGCTCGTCAAAGCACGCCAGCCGGGAGCGCAGCACTCTAATAGGCAAAGCCTCACACATTTCACAAGCAGCCCCCTCGAGAGCTGCCCGTGCGTGCTGCACTCCCAAACAATACACACATAGAGAGTGTGCGTCCCCACCCGTGATGAAACGAGGGCAGGGATGCACACACCTCTTGAATTGTTCACTGGCCATACTTTCTTTCAATAATAAGACAAACAACACCAAATAAGACAGACAGTTTCAACATAAAGCGCTTGCTGAAGAGCGAAAGCTAGTGTGTGTTGTGACAGCGTCACTTTTATACTTCCGGGTATGCCGTCACATGTTACGTCACGACGCAACACCAATCAGGATTGGATTAGTTTCATTCATACTTCAGAGGCGCACGCTTAGGGAGCGTCCCCAAAGAGTCGATTTTATCGACGCAGTGTTGAGTTCCCTCGATAGGGAACATACAGTATACTCTTTTAAAACTTTTCACAGTTTCAGTGGTTCTGCCGCTAGGGGCATTGAACTGGTATTCAGTAATCACATGCATGCACCAGTGTCTAATATGGTTTTCATTGATCTTGGGTCAGTTTTATTAATATAGATTCCGTTTTAATGACAAAGGTAGTTTTGATGTGTTAGTGTTTCAAAACACTTAGAAAATAAAGATTCCAAAAGGAGGTTTTTGGGTAACACTTTATACTACGACCCGCAAACAACCACGTAAGTAAACCGAAATTACAGTGTACGGTACAACCAGATTAATTAATCTGTAATTATCAGTAATTATATATATATATATATATATACACATGTATATTAGTGCTTGGCAATGATAAAATCGCGATTAATCACATCCAAAATAAAGTTTGTGTTTACAAAATACATGTGTGTGTACTGCATATAATTATTTTGTATATATAAATACACACACATGCATGTATAGGAAAATGTTTAGGAAAAATGTGTCATTTATATATAAAATATTAATATTTAATATTATATAATATCATTTTTTTAATACAATACATACAATATATATATTTCTTATATATATATATATATATATATGCGTGTGTATTTATATTTACAAAATAATTTTGCAGTGTAATCTGCTTGTTACCCCTTTATTACCCAAAACTTAACATATTGTTCCCTTGTACCTACACGGAAGTACACTGTAATTATGTAAACGTACACTGTAATTTCGGTTTACTTACACAGTTGTAAAGAACCACTTTTGGTTCCACAATGAACCATTCAGTCATCAGTTCTTAAAATAACCATTTTTTTTATTTCAACATTTTAAAAAATCGAAAGAAAAATGTTCCACAGTAAAGAGGATTTTGGTGGATTAGAATGGTTCCATTGATATACAATATTGTTTGCAGAACCATTATTTTTAATATTAAAACATTTTGTAAAGCAATTGTTTCACTTATTTCAGAGCCTCAAAAAGCTACCTTTCTTCTATTACTAGTGTATATGTTTACCATTTAAGAAAGGCCAGTAATACTTCCAAATAGAAAAATCAAGAGATAAAATTGGGCCTATGCGGTTCTCCATATTGTTACAACACAAAATGGCTGCCAGAGATTGAAAGAGTTTCACCAAGTTCCAGGTCCAAGTATAGTTCCTCAAACATCTAATGCAAGATTCTAAAACAGTCTTCTATAAGTTTATATTCATGATAGGAATGAAGTACTGTGCTGATATTACAGAGCAAGCTTAATAACCTGGTGTCATTTTAAATTGGTTCCTACCTGGCAAGGCTAACATGGATTGAAAGTCTTGGCAGTTGGCCTTTCCAGTGCTGTCCTCGCCGCAGGCATGCCATAGATTCTCATAGAGGCGGTTTGAAACGATTACAGTGCCTTGCACACTAGATATCTTCCAGTAGTCATTAGCCACAGCAAGGCCAGTCATCACCCAGCCGATCAAACACATGAAGAATCCAGTCACCTCTAATGCTGTTGACATCTTTACACTTCGCACACAAAGTGAGAGAAATAGAAGATGAATAGAAAATTATAGGCTAGAATAATGTGCTAGAATAGTCCTGTGAACCTTTCTCTACTCCAGATAACTGAGTTTGAATTTTTCTTCCGTTGAGCAGCAGGACTTCAACCTTTGTGGAGGGTCATAAAGCCACTGCCGCACCCAAGAACCCACTCAGCTTATGACGATACTGTTGATGATGGGTGTGATCGTTTCATAGTGAGACACACATTTACTCTGGTCACACCATTACCATATATAGTTATCATATGATTGGAGTCTCTTTCTGTGATTATGTTAAAACTAATTCAATAAATATTGCATAAAAATGGAGCCAACTGGCTGATTGGGAGTGTGACTGGCTCTTTTAGTCACCAAATTATCTGATTGTCCAATGTATGATCGCAGGGATGCTGGGACTATCGGAAAAGTCCATCGCAGAGATAACAACACACTAAACTTTACACTCTCATTCACCGATTCAGGGGAAAACTAGAAAGAAGCACTAACAGCATGCACCAATATGTGTTTAATATATATATATATATTTTAAATTCAGATAAATCTCATATCGGTCTGATACTGGTGCTAGTATTGTATTGCATAATTATTGTGATCATAGTGAGTGTGGTTATAGATCAAAAGAGAAACTGAAATGTCATTGCCAGTGACTGAGGGAACTGGAAAAAAATCCCTTTATGAATGGGATAGCTCATTGGATAACCCCCTTCTATATCACTTGATGACAAAAGTTGCCAGGGCGTACTTAGGATGCTGAGTTTGTTTCATACCAAAGACATTCCAAATTGATACCATATCGGTTCAGACAATATTGAAATTATTGGAAAATCTCATTGATCCCATTTCATGGACTGCCCCTCCAGGATGGTTTTGCTGGGACACAATATTAATGGTCTTCTCAATATTAAGACAATATTAATAGTCTCCTCTTAACAGGAATTAGCTTCAGGATTACACTTCAAGGGTTTTTTTATAAGTAAGTTTGTGGTAACTCTTTTACATTTTTTGTCAGTTTCCCTTTTTATCAATGGTAGTTGATGCTGTGAAAAAGAGCATATTCATAAATATAAATAAAAATGATTTATCTCTCTTTGATTTCACTGTAACCTGGTTTCAACAGTTAGGAACATCTTTTGTGGGTCATATCATCATGGTTTTATGGCGTGCCAGTTAATGGTTGATTATCTTCAGAGCTCAAAGTCTAAGCTCTATCAATAAACAGATGACTTCAGAGTTTCTTTGTTTTTGTCTCCCTCTTTTTATCATTACCTACCCATAATTCTCTCTCTAGCTCACTATATATTGGAAGATAATAGTCTTTTTAGTAATAATTCGTTTTTATTTCATCATACAGATGTCTATCATGTCCTCATAAAAGGCTATTAGCAGGTAGTGTAACTGTGTCATATGTATATGTGAGCATTCTATAATTCCCAAAAAATGTTCTTAAAAATGTAAAATGCTAGAGAGGGAGTAAGAAAAGAAATGTGTTGTTCATTTTGAATTTTATTTTGAAAGGTTAAGAGAGTGTTCCCCCTAAAGTTATAACTTTATTTTTATTGTATTGGGCTTGTCCCCTCCTGAAGCCCTTTGATACTTCCCCTTTTATTGTACTTTGGACTAATCCAAATAAAGTCAATCTTGAGTGTTTCAAAAATCTATGTAATTTTCCTGGAGTGCTGGGACAGGAGAGGAGAGTTCTTGGTTGCCTGTTGTTGCCAACTGTTACAAACTTCCTTGTTACTACGTCCCTGACCCCTAGACTGGGGAGGCATTTAACAATTGGGCAATTCAAACATAACACAGAGACCACTGAGCTATTGCTTTAGGGGGCAACTGCAACACGTTGTCACAGTCTGTCGTCCTCACCTGTGTTGTCCCGTCATCTGCACCACACTTCCCCGGATCCTTTTGTTCCTCTCCCGGACTCACTCCCCAATCAGCCACCTGTTCCTCGTCCTGTCATGATCATTTTCACCTGTGTTCACCCCAATCAGCCTTATTCCTCTGTGTATTTAGTTCAGTTCTGTTTGAGTCGGTGTTTGTCGGTCAATGTTTAATGTTACTGGGTGTATCCCGTCTTCCTGCCTGTATTTATTTAATAAATCAATGTTCTTCGTGATTTTGGACTCAGCCTGTCCTTCTGCCTGCACCCGCACCGTGACAGATTGACCGACCCAAAAAACTACATGGACGCCGTGATCTTCCGGGGGATCCCCTACCCGGTCCTGCGACCCCGGTTACGGCTCGTTCCCCGAAAGCCTGCGCTCACCGTCAGCCAGGCAAAGCTCGAGCTCCCCGCTCCGCTGGTTCCGTCCAGCCCCGCCGAGCTCGAGCTCTCTCCTCCGCTGGTCCCGCCCAGCCTCGCCGAGCCCGAGCTCTTTCCTCTGCTGGTCCCGCCCAGCCTCACCCAGCCCGAGACCGTCCACTTCCCATCTGCCCTTCATCTGGGGACTCTACCCAAATATGTTTGGGGGGGGGGGCCCAGTATTCCAGCCAGCGCCGGAGACCGTCCAGCCAGCGCCGGAGACCGTCCAGCCAGCGCCAGAGACCGTCCAGCCCGCGCCGGAGACCGTCCAGCCAGCGCCGGAGACCGTCCAGCCAGCGCCGGAGACCGTCCAGCCAGCGCCGGAGACCGTCCAGCCAGCGCCGGAGACCGTCCAGCCAGCGCCAGAGACCGTCCAGCCAGCGCCAGAGACCGTCCAGACCGTCCGGCCAGAGACCGTCCAACCAGAGACCTGGATCCCGCCCAGCCTCCCTCTCCCGCCTCCTCTCATCTGTCCTCCCTCTGCTCTCCTGCCCTTCAGCTCCCCTAAACCAGCCTGGTCCGTGTTTCCCCGGCCTTCGCCTCACACCTCCTCCATCTGGACACTTCCTCGGCCCCCGGTCCCATCGGCTCCCCCGTGGCTGCTACCTCCCTCAGCTCCTCCATGGTCCCACAGTCCACCAGCTCGGCCAGGCTCCCTCGTCCCTCCGAATTCCCTGCACTCCCTCGTCATCCTCCCCTCACCTATGGACTTCCTTACTTTGGCTCCGCCCCGTTTTGTCACCCCTTCGGTTCAGTTGGACTCCTCACTCCCTCCAGTCACCCGTCAGCCCTCACGCCCTCTGACCTCACCGTGTCCCTCTGTGCCCCTGTCAGCACTTCAGTCACCAGAGCCTGCGGTGTCCCCATGTTCCCTCGGTCCCTCCTCAGCACCCATTGTCGTCGGTCCCTCAGCTGCACCCTGGTCTCCTCTCCCATCCGCTCCGCCCCTGTCAGTCGGCCCCCTGGTGTTGTCAGCCCCACTACCATCGGCTCCACCAGGGGTCCTCCCTCCAGCTGCGCCGCCCTGGTCTCGCCCTCAGCCTGCGCCACCCTGGTCTCGCCCTCAGCCTGCGCCGCCCTGGTCTCGCCCTCAGTCTGCTCCGCCCTGGCCTCGCCCTCATCCTGCTCCGCCCTGGGGGGCTGCCTCCTCCTGACCACGCCCTCCACAGCCTCCAGGGTGCCCACCCCCCCCTCCCCATTGATGTTATGGCGTGAGGCCACGCCTTCCGGGAGGGGGGAGTAATGTCACAGTCTGTCGTCCTCACCTGTGTTGTCCCGTCATCTGCACCACACTTCCCCGGATCCTTTTGTTCCTCTCCCGGACTCACTCCCCAATCAGCCACCTGTTCCTCGTCCTGTCATGATCATTTTCACCTGTGTTCACCCCAATCAGCCTTATTCCTCTGTGTATTTAGTTCAGTTCTGTTTGAGTCGGTGTTTGTCGGTCAATGTTTAATGTTACTGGGTGAATCCCGTCTTCCTGCCTGTATTTATTTAATAAATCAATGTTCTTCGTGATTTTGGACTCAGCCTGTCCTTCTGCCTGCACCCGCATCGTGACACACGTATGATTACATTGTTATGTTTCAGAGACCTTGAATAGATGTCAGTGTTGTAGTCGAGACCACCTCACTCGAGTCCGAGTCGACACCGAGACCAGAGAGAGTCGAGTCCGAGTCAAGACCGAGTCCATAGAGAGTCGAGTCCGAGACCAGAAACGGTCGAGTCCGAGTCGAGACCAGTGAGGGTTGATTACCTAATTTACTTTTATTTACTTAGAGAAATCCTTTTTTTTTTTTTTTTTTTTTTTACTGAATTTACTTAGAGTTAAAAAATATGATCCGTTTAGGGTAAAAACATAGTAGGTGGTGTTAAAAGTAATTTTATTACAATTTGTCATGCGCAGTTGCGCACTAGAAAATCACCAATCACTGGGCGTGTCAATCAATTTAAAGAAATATTTTATTAACATACATTAATAATCATGAAAAATATTTTTAATTGAACTCGAGTGGACTTGGGAATAATTCTGAGTCCTAAAAAAAAAAATGTTCGAGTACGAGTCAATTCCGAGTACAAATGGACACGAGTCCAAGACCAAGACCATTAAAATATGGTCTCGAGACCGAGTCCGAGACGAGTCCGAGTCTCGAGTACTACAACACTGATAGATGTTGTATAAGGTCAGGAAGGGTTCAGGCAACAACATTTAAGGATTTATAAGCAAACACTAAAACCTTAAAGGGATACTCCACTTTTTTGAAAACAGGCTATTTTACTACTCCACCAGAGTTAAACAGTTGGGTTTTACCATTTTCAAATGTATTCAGCCGATTTTCTGATATTTAGAAGAATATCATTAAACCGACAGTTTCTGGTCTCATTGACTTCCATAGTATATTTTTTTCCTACTATGGTAATCAATGAGACCAGAAACTGTTTGGTCACTGATATTCTTCTAAATATCAGAAAATCGGCTGAATGAATTCGAAAACGGTAAAACTCAACTGTTTAACTCTGGGGGAGTTGTAAAATGAGCCTATTTCCAAAAAAAAAAGTGGAGTAAAATCCCTTTAAAATCAATCCTAAAACACACTGGAAGCCGATGCAGAGAAGCCAACATGGGGGTAATGTGTTCCCACTTACTTGTGTGTTGACCTGTTGAAAGTCAAGCTGCAGCATTCTGGACTAACTGCAAGCATGTGTGAGAGAGAGAGGCCTGAATGACACCAACATAAGACGGCATTATAATAGTCTAAACGAGATGAAATAAAAACATCGATAACCCTTTCGAAGTCATTGGATGATGAAAAAA